TATATATATATATATATATATAATTTTATATTTTTTAAAAAAATATTTAGTCAAAAAAAAAATCTAAGTCTTGGAGACAGTGCAAGAGATTGAGCGAAGGAATTTGCTTTGCAGTTGAATCAATCAGCATAAGTGGACACGTGAATCTGCAACCATACGTCAGAGGTCCTACAAAAGCTGACCAGTTGATGCGGCGACTTTTCCCTAATTTTACAGGTTCTTGAAGTTTTCTCGTGGTCTTCTCTTTTTGTCTTGTTTAATTACTAATTATTTTTTGTTTCAAAAAGAAATACTCCGGAAAGAAATTAGGAGGAAGATGTCCAAACTTTTAAAAAAATTTAAATTAGTTTACATAATTAAAAGTACATAAAATATAGTATTTGTGTAAATTATGTTTTCTTGCAATTAAATACTATATGAAAAAATATTTCATTCTTAAAGTATTACTAGGCCAGGTGTTGGTCCAGCTGGTTGCTAGATGCCATAAAAATTCGATACGTCTTCTTGGCTTTCTTGCTTTCAGGCATCTTCTTTATCGATTCGATTACAGGGTGCTCCTACTACGATTACTGAATAACTTAACAATTTAGTCATATAAATTACTCCTTTTAATCTTTTTCGTATAGTTTTAATATTTTGAATAAAACGATTACTCCTAGTATTAAATTAAGAAATATATACTACTCCAATGTTTGTGATTAGTAACGAGCTTTGAATACATTTGTATGTTATTACTATCAAGTTTATGACACCACAGTCATAATGACAATCACATCTCCTTTTCCCCTCAATACCGTCATTAAAAAGGAAAGTAATTTCTTTAGATAAAAACTATGCGAATAAGGCAGATAACAGACAAACAAATATTGAAGTGATAAGATAACTCATTATTGAAGGTATCTTAAAGTATATTTATTGAGAATCTGTATAATTGTCTAGTGTATCCCTTCAATAATGTGTCAGAGAATTTAGGGTCCATAACGTGAAGGAAGGAAAACATTTGTTAGTTGCAGCTTAGAATAACAAAGCAAGAAGGTAGGCAGCAGCTATAGGATATTGCATGTTGTTGGTCCCTTGCATATACATGTTTACTTGTGATTCTGTATCTACATCAATTTAATCAATTCTTCCCACCAATTAATTATTCATGAATAAAGTCTGTAGATAAGTATCAGTTGTAAACATTGAAATATGTCAAATGTAAATACATTTTCTTTTTAATAGATTAAATGGTTGGCTTTGGCTCTTTTATGCTACCAAGAGACAACACACTTTCATGCTCAAGATACCCTCTGCTCCATCTCCATTCATCCTTATCATCTCTTTCGGCTACTAGTATATAAAAGGACTCTTTGTAAAAGAAAGTTTCAAAGTTTGATTACCATAATAATTTTCTAATACTTTATGTCTTCCTCTTATAAATGGCACAAGTATACGTCAACTATGATCAATCTGACATTTTATGGAAAGGTAGATTAAATTGTTGTAGTTTTAATCGACTTTTATTTCTTTTATATTTACATATGATTCATACAGCTTATGAGCAATTCAAAAGGCGACCCCATCTTTATGTATTTTTCAGGGCTATTAAATACGACCCAAGGAATCATAGTCACCGCCCCGTCATGACCGTTCCTCGTATTTTTGTGTTTTACGGCCAAAATATTAGAATTCCGATCGATTCCCATATTTTGGTATTCTATAGCCCACGCCTTCCGAGTGGGTCCGGACCCCCCGGACCCCGATCGCCTAAAATTTTTCCGGGCTATTAAATACGAACCAAGGAACCATAGTCACCGCCCCTCCATAACCGTTCCTCTTTTTTGCATTTTACGGCCAAAAACTAGAATTTCGCACGATTCCCATTTTTTCGTGTGCTAGCCCACGGCTTCCGAGTGGTCCCGCGCCCCCGAACCCCGATCGCCTAAAGTTTTTTCGGGCTATTAAATACGACTTAAGGAACCATAGTCGCCGCCCCTACATAACTGTTCCTCTTTTTTTTTTGTATTTTATAGCTAAAAAAGAAGAATTCCGTCTTATTTCTATATTTTTGTGTGCTATAACTCACGTCTTCTGAGTGAGCGCGGATTCCCGGACTCGGATCGCCTAAAAAAATTTCGGGCCATCAAATTCGACCTAAGGAACCATAGTCACCGCCCGCCACGACCATTCCTTTAGAATGAAAGCGGTTAGCAATTTCATATTGATTCTTTCCGCTGGTGCTATTCGCTTCGTCTATGGTCATAACTCCATATCAAGAAATGGAAACAAATAATAAATAAATGGTCGATTGCTATAGGGAAAACAAAAGCAGATATCGTATGTGTTTGATTTTCTGAAAATAACCAATGGAGTGATTAAGTCTCCAGATTATCCTAAGTCATGGCATAACTCAGACCAGTCGTTCTAATTCCATATGTAAATTCAAACTTATGACACTGCAATTGAATTGTGAGCTCAACGTTGAATTAAATTGGGCCAACGTAGATACGCAGATGTAATTTTTACCTATCTATATTATATTATAAACTTATTTAACTCTTATAGAGAAGTTATTACTTAATTATATTAGCATATACAATTTATCATTTATATACAAAATAATATATTAGACTCCAATCTTACCCATTTTAAGTTTCATTCTTCTCTATTTTTCTTCTTCGATTCGGCTTTTGCAGATGAACATGCTCGGAGCTTTGAAGAATGGTGAATCAACTAGTTAAAAGTCATAGAATACATATATGAAGCACCAATACAAATGGATTATCATAACTTTTTTTAGATGAATAAACAAGACATTGAAGTGGCGTTTGGAACTAAACTGAAACTAATTGATGATGTGATTGAAACTAAACTGAAGTTGGTTGTGTATGCATGAGCTTAAACTCCATTGATGGCCATTAGAAAGCTTAGAAGTTTTGAATTCGAAAAATAAAATTTGCAAAATTATTTTTTGTTTGGATTGTTGTTGTTGCAAATAATTGGGAATATTCTTTGGAGTTTATATCTCAATTTCGAGAAAATTTGGTGAAGATTCGAGGTGGTTTTAGTTGGAATTTCAGATTAAAAGATATAAGCAAATTGTATATATTTTGTATGTCGATGGTAGAAACGGTATACAAAATATTTACAACTTACATAATTGTATACAAGTTGTATATAAATTGTATGTAAATTGTAGTTTTTGACAGGATAATGTACAAAAAAGTTGGACCTAAGTTGTAGATAAATTGTACATTTTGACTGAATTTGTATGTATTTGGTAAAAAGCTTTAGTTATTTTTTCTAAAATATGAAAACCTAGATAGACCGGATAAATAAGTTTAAAATCTCGTATATATATATACGAAAAAGATAATGCAAAGCCCAAATGTTATGACATTACTGAAGCCCAATATCGTAGCTCTGAAACCAATTTAGAAGTCATACTTGTCCCTGAACATTTCTAAAGAAAAAGAACGGTTTTGGACTTACCTGATACTTTGTGCTACTCGCGTAGTTTTTCATTTTCCTGCTACCCGCGTACGTAGGTCAAACTGTCTAACTGTGTATTTTTCACATTGATACTAAAATTGACGTCAAACTTCGTTTTATTACAATGCATGCCAGGACCAACACTATGTACTTGGCAAATCTCTTGCAAACCTCCATAGACAATAAAGTATACATTGCAGGCAAACTTCTCCACGCCCATATACTCCGAGTTGGCCTTTCCGCTGATACATTCCTCGTAAACCGCTTAATTGAATTGTATTCGAAATGTGGTCATATTCATGCCGCACGACACCTGTTCGATCAAATGGTTGAACGAAACTTATATTCTTGGCATTCGCTGTTGAGTGCATATTGTAAGGAAGGTCAACTTGCAAATGCTCATAAACTATTTCTGAAAATGCCCGAGAGAAATAGTATATCCTGGAACACTATAATTAGCGCATTTGCTCGAAATGGTCATGAAAGAAAGGCCTTGGAAGTTTATTCTCTGATGAATTCACAAGGTTTCTCTCCGACCCATATCACATTGGCTAGCGTTTTAAGCGCCTGTGGCGGGTTGGGTGAGCTGGAGTGCGGCAGGGTGTCTCACTGTGCTGCTGTGAAGTATGGGCTTCACAAGAATGTGTACGTTGGGAATGCTTTGTTGAGCCTTTATGTAAAATGTGGATGCCCTTCGGATACATTGAAGGCGTTTAGGGAGTTGGATGAGCCTAATGAGGTTTCCTTAACGGCAATGATGTGTGGACTGGTTGAAACTAATCAAGTGGAAGAGGCGTTTGAAATGTTTAGGTTAATGCAGAGAACTGGAATTCGGATTGACTCTGTTTCATTATCTAGTGTACTAAGGGTTTGTGCTAAAGGTGGGGGTTCGAATTTTGGTTGGAATGGTGAGACTGATGGTGATCTACCTAATACACAGGGGAAGCAAGTCCACGGTTTGACAATTAAACTTGGATTCGATGGAGACCTTCATGTATGTAACTCCTTGCTTGACATGTATGCAAAAAATGGCGACATGGAAAGTGCTGAAGTATTGTTTGGAAACCTATCAGAAACTAGTACCGTTTCTTGGAATGTTATGATAAGTGGGTTTGGACAGAATCATGATAAAGAAAGAGCGATGGAGTACATGAAAAGGATGCGGGGTGTTGATGTTGAACCAGATGATGTTACTTACATAAATATGCTCGCGGCTTGTGTTAAATCAGGGGATGTTGAAAATGGCCGTTTGATATTTGATAGCATGGCTTGCCCAAGCTTGATTTCATGGAATGCTATACTTTCAGGCTATTCCCAGAATGAGGACCATCTTGAGGCACTAAAGCTGTTCAGAGAAATGCAGTTTCGGAGTCAGCAACCTGATCGGACCACTTTGGCTATCATACTTAGTTCATGTTCTGAGATTGGTGTACTAGAATGTGGGGAACAGGTCCATGCTACTTCATTAAAGCATGTCTTTCCTGGAGATGTATACATAGCTAGTAGTCTTATTGGTATGTACCTAAAGTGTGGTAGAGTAGAAGCAGCTCTACGTATTTTTAATGGACTCTCTCAAGCAGATATAGTCTGTTGGAATTCTTTAATTACCGGTTTATCCTATAATTCATTGGACAAAGAAGCTTTTGCTTTCTTTAATAAAATGCTACAGATGGGGATGTTACCTAATGAGTTTTCATACGCTACTACACTGAGTAGCTGTACAAAGTTATCCTCATTGGCACAGGGGAGACAGGTTCATGGTCTGATAATTAAAGGTGGATATGATAATGATGTTGTAGTTGGAAGTACTCTAATTGACATGTACTCCAAATGTGGTGATGTAGATGGGGCCAGGGTGCACTTTGACATGATGCCTTATAAGAATACAATTACATGGAATGAGATGATACATGGCTATGCACAAAATGGTCGTGGAGATGAAGCTATTTTCTTGTATGAAGACATGATTTGTTCAGGAGGAAAACCTGATACTATAACCTTTATTGCCGCTTTAACTGCTTGTAGTCACTCTGGGCTGGTAGATCTGGGGCTTAAGATATTCAACTCAATGCAGCTACAATATGGGTTGGAGCCACTTGTTGATCATTACACTTGTATAATTGATTGTCTGGGTCGTGCTGCCCGGTTTAGTGAAATAGAAGAACTAGTCAATAAGATGCCATGCAAAGATGACTCTATTGTGTGGGAGGTTTTGCTCAGTTCTTGTCGGCTCCATGGAAATGTAACCTTAGCAAGGTGGGCAGCAGAGGAGCTCATCCGTCTCAACCCACAGAATTCTGCTCCTTATGTGCTTCTAGCAAATATGTATACATCGTTAGGTAGATGGGGTGATACAGAGGAAATTAGAGCAGCTATGTCGGAAAGGCAGGTAAGCAAGGAACCTGGTTTTAGCTGGGGGTGAATTCTTGAAGGAGAAGTAGTAAGTGTAGCTGGCTGTTAAAAATTTGACAGACGGCTAAATGAAAGGTGCTCTGTTTGTTAGCGGTATGGAATTAAAGCATCCGTCTCCACTACTCAAAGATAGTTGATATGTTCTGCTGGAAGCAATTTCGATTCTAGCTCAGGTTTCTCAAAATGGACTTTTCTTTAGATATTTTTACAAGTCAAGTCTAGTGCCAAGGAGAAAGCACTATTGCTTGACAAATGTCACGGGCGGATCACAGAAATCTTATGTGTACTGGCTTCGAGGCTCCCCCCTGAATAAGTAAGGCCCCGTTAGCCTGGGCGAAGATGGGGACNGCAATAAGTCGCTAGTCGAAGGTTTAGACCAATCGCAATTCATCACCATCTTGCCCGCTTCCAATTGATGACTGGCTATTATATAAGTGTTGACCTAAGCCCCTGCGCAGGGGCTCGGCTCCCGAACCGTACGTGAGCTGTCTCGTACGGCTCTTCCTAAGAACTTGAAGCCCCCTCTCTCTAAATAGAAAAAAATGCATTTACAAGACAAAAAAGACTTTTTCAAAAAGCCTTCCTTCTTAAAGGACTCTTAATAAAGAAAGCTTTTTTGAAGAAAGCAATTCAAGTAGGGCTTGAAAGAAGCCAGGCGATCCGATCAGAAAATAAAGAAGATAGACGAGAAGATAAGGGGCGAAGGACTTTTTTTAAATCCGATCGGTGTAAACATGATATTACTGGAAGGTGTGGCTGGATCACCTCCTTTTCAGGGAGAGCTAATGCTTGTTGGAAGATGTTCGCATTTGACCAGGCTTTTTGGACGTTCCAACTGAAAAAGCACTTCTGCCGGTCGACGAATGCGTGCGGAGGTTGTAGCAGTGTTGAATGAACGGCTGATTTGGAACGATTGGGGCCGCCGAGCCCAACAAAAGAGGCTCTCGAAAGAGAGCTTTCGACCTTTCTTTCTTCCTTTGGAAATCCGGGGGCTCAGTCTTTCAAGATTCAATCTTTCCCCTTCCCGTCCCAGGGAATCTTCTCGTTTCCCAAAATTGAGGGATTTTTTTGGATATTCTTCTTTGTTCTACTGACTACCGACATTAATGCTTTTCACTGCTGTGCTTGTATCATTTCCTGCGCCAGGAAAACATGACTAACTGGGACAAGAGGCTCCGAGTCATTGTCGACTGCTCTACCTCAGACTGTGAACAGGTCATGTTTCTTCATTGCTGATTTGTAGCTTCCATATCAGTAGCTTTTGCATGGAGAATGTGCATAGAAGTTTGCTGTTACATTGCAACAAATGCTAAGGTTCCAACACCAGTCGGTGAAGATGGTCTAAGTTGTTATTTATGACATCCAGAAAAAGAAACGAAGAAAATAGGGGTCTAAGTTGTTTGCTATGTTACTGACAAATACTGAGTAACTGTATGAACCTTATTTACGGAAGTCAAAAAGATTGGGTTGCAGAGAGTCAAGTGAGTCAAACTGCTGCTGAAGGGAGATCAAATGGAAGGTATGAAGCATGTATAGATTCCTTTATGCAAATTGTACCTTACTCTAGCGTATCTTAAAAATCAAGGTCTTTGTAGGCATCAGTCTTCTCTAATGATGCTGCAAATGCTCTTCTGCCGATACTGTGGCTTCAAAGGAAGTTAGGATGGTTGAAGCAAAAGGCGTACTTGCTTTGTAGAATATGGATATGCAATAAACTGTTGTCATGCAGAGTCTTCAAGGATCAGAATTACTGGCAAGAATCATATGCTTCTACGTACGCAAAGAAGTAAATGGACAATATCTGTGTTTTAGCAAATTAACATTGAGCCTAAATGCTGCCGCCAGTTGCATGTTGCCCAGCTGCAACTTTAGGCTTATGATCCTGGAATATCTAATTACCGATGTAATTGTTGTGCAATAGCCTTCCATCCATTTATCTGTGGGGAATGTCAGGGGCACCATTTCTCCTCATGCACCCTCCCTACAGTCTTGTCGGATATTTGAGAAGTGGCAGTCTCAGATTGACATACTAGAAAAATTTAGGAATATTTAAGTATAACATATGGTTATTTAAACTCTCTTCTCCCAAGCTTATCAGCTAAGATAGTTGTGTTGAAGTCTTAAGAGACCTCTTCGCTAAGTTAGTAATTTTCTGCCCCTTTCCTAAATCTGTTTTTGCATGTCCATACGTAGCTAGCCATAACAACTAAGGTCTATTCGTGGAGCCTATTCGAGAGAGAAATATCAAAAGATATTCACAATAGGACATGGTTCTTCGGTAAGACAAAACCGCAGTAAATTTGCCTATAGGGAGAAACTTATCGTTTTACTCTTGCTTCGAGAAATGACACATTTGTCTGCTGGACTCCAGCGTTATCATCAGCCTGGGGCTTTGGCTGATGAGACATATACTTAGCATCTTGGAAACATGAACGAATAATTGAAGCAACGGATAATTGAATAATGAGCTATTATCCGTTGATACTGCCAATAATGGATAATGAGCTTTGTCTTGAGGAGAGCGACTCTAAACAACGGATAATTGAACTAACTTTTATGTTTTTCAATTCTTTTCTTTATATATTATAGTTTATAGTTACTATTTTCATGAGCTACATGTAAAATTTGTTTTACATACTCAATTACGTCTTTTGTTAATGTAACAACCCAGACCGCTAGTAATATTGTCCGCTCTAGGCCTAGGCCCTCACAGGTTTAAAATGCGTCAGTAGGATCTAAGGCGTGTTAACTTATATACCTAACATCTCTCTTGTGTTTTGCCGATGTGGGACTCTATCTAAAGTTTAGGGTGTTACATAAACCCCCTCTTATGGACTCGGCGTCCTCGCTGAGGTTTACCCCACCGCATGGGATTCACCTAGACTCATCACTGAGGTACCGGGATTTGCCTAAACTCAGTTGAACTTTGACCCACCATCAGCAAGGATGACACAAGAGTGACTCTGATACCATCAAGTCCGCCATTTTATCTTCGCTTTGCGCTTGAAGCCCCAATAGACTTAAAACGATTTTGTTTTCTTTTTCTTTAATATAAAACAGTAGACTTATGGTAAAACCAACAGGAATTCTGTATCTTCATGCAGGGGCGAAGGTAGAAATCGAGCTATAGATTCGGTCGAACCCAGTAGCTTTTATTCAAACAGTGTATCTGTATTAAAAAATTTATTACATATGTACAAAGGTTAAATTTAGAACCCAATCATTAACATTTGAAGTTGGCATTCTAAATTCCAGAACTCATAATTTTAAATCCTAGCTCTGCTTGTATCTTCATGCATTTTCAAAGTTTTTGTATGTAATATGGCAACACGATGGATAAGATTGCTAATTTTAACAATGACAGATAAAATACCGGAGTCATGAATCTAAGAAAATCGTGATTTACATTTGCTACTTGGCCGACCTGATAATCTTTAAACAAAACGCTAGCAAAATGAACGTCCAACTGTGATAACCATTAGACTATCATTTTCAAGTTGAAACAGCTGCCAAGAACCAAAATAGCTGCTAGGTTACTACAACAAACTAACAAGACAAACATTTGGAATGGGCATTTCAAAAACAGATAAATACTGATCTCAAAACCTCTACAAAGCAAACATAAGAGGAGATGGAAGGAATAAATTCTGCAACTTTACTAGAGCTCCTCAAAGCCTTCTTCATCCCCTTCTTCCTCTATTCTCTGAAATTCGCTCCTCCAGGTTTCCATCTGTGTGGATACCAATAAGTTCAGAGACTAGGAATTTTTATATAAGGACAACTATTTTTCTTTTTCTTCCTTTCTTTTTTNAACATTATGGCACACAGTAAATCTACCTGATCATCAGAGAAACGCAGATGCTCTGCAACAAAAAGTATGCTCGTGCCGACTCCTGATGCTCGTCTTGCAGAATCTTTGCTGAGGTTTCGTGCAACTTCATCATATTCAATCGCCTTCACCCGAAAACCATAGCTCATAAAGAGGTTGTCAAGCCATGTCTTTGTGGCAGGCTGAACATTGACCAAGAATTAGATTGCTGGAATTGCAGTTTTTGAGGATGTAATTGAATTGAAAAAAGCCTGCTCAATGTACAAGCTCACCAGGTCTGCAACTTCAGTTTCAGCCAGCCAGACAGGAATTTCCCCCAAGAAAAGACATCCCTTCATGGCTAAATTACTGACAACAGACAAGATATCTTTAAAACTTGCCAAGTTCACAACAGGAAATCCCTACAAATGAGGTACTCCTGTTACTGATAAGGTACATGTATCAGAATTCCACATCAAATGTATACTATTGACCAAATGGTATAGAAAGTTCCACCGCAGATGACGATAACAGCGGCCCTTGAACACTAGGTGAACTTCTAAAAATCTGTCATGATACTGCCAATAACGTCAGCAACATTTAGGAATGTGAACTACACCAACACCCGTTACATGCAGCAGATGCCACAATAAAAGTACCTCCCTCTTTCAGTGAGTAGGTAAGCCTCCAAAAACATTTATGTTCTATGGGGAACGAAGGTTGAGAAAGGAGAGGGGGCAGGAAAGGTGAAAATGTGCTGATTGTGATTATGTTTTGGTGAAGCCAGTAATCAAGACAAATAAAGCCAAAGATTGAAAAAAAATCACCATTAATGAGAAAAAATTCTACAATTTTGGAGCACCAAGTAGGAACTATAAAGACAGCTCCACTCTAGTAAAAGGCAAGCTCTCTATCATGTCAAATATCTATCTGAAATTTACAATCAGTGTATGACTTGCAGCCCAAGCTCTTTGTTTTCTTTTCTTCTTCTTGTCTTTTCCTGGTGGATGGGGGTGGTAAAAACTCCTCTTTCCCACAGTTCGTAAGGGTAAAGCGTCAACCGGGGTAAAAACGCTAAATCTGTAAGCACCATAAATAAATGCAAAACTTCATGAAAGGCCAAAGAATATACCCAGAAACCATATGTTCACCTGAAAAACCCATATACTTGGTCTGGTACCACTAAATCCTTTACTGCGAAGTACATTTTCTATGTCAAAAGACTCTGACGGGACATGAAAAGACATGCATCCTCTTGGAATCTTAGCCCCAGCATCTATGTCATCCATAGCAATACCATTAGATATGCTTCATGTGATCATAAAACTAATACATTTATGAATAAAGACAAAATGACATAAGGAACATCAAGCAGTAAAAACATTCCTCTTCAAACAGAACCAATGTAATCAACACAAGTCTCAGATATCATGAAAAAACATTGAAGTCTCATAAAGAGTTCACTGAACTCAGAAATATTTGCAGCTCACGATGTCTCCTTTGATGCGTGTGGAGTGAAAGAAATAAATCATTTTTTCAAAATAGTGAGAAATCATTGAGGGTATTGAAAGATCCTTCCTATTCACTTGTATTTTTGGTATAAAGAGAGGATAGCATGATAGCTGGCAAACTTAAGAGATGCCAATGGTTGGCATGGTTCATCAAAATAATTCTTTTCCATTGTAATATATTAACAAATGTACTAGCATGACTTGTACGGAAAAAGTTAAGCATGAACCCACTATCTCGACATTATAATTTTGCTCATCAGCTTTACTCTTGAGAAGAGAAAAATAAACGTTTACAGTTTTCATGTAAATGCAAAAAAAATGCACTCTTCCAGACAGAGTGATAGAGTTCATTAGAGGTATCATTATCACTGTTTTCCTTATCATTATCTTCCAGTTTATATCTAACTAGAAGACAGTGTCAGTCAATTTGGAATTGAGATGATTGATTGATTAATTGATTTCTAACTAGAGGATGAAGATAAATAAAACAAGAACAGAAGGGCAGATGAGGATAGGAAATAGTGATAATAATATCTTTTATGAACTACATCAATGTCTATTTGAAGCCAGAAAAATGAATTTTTCTTGATAAGACCTGAAATTAATTTTTCCTTGTTCTAATTCCATTATTTAGAGCGAATAAGAAATCTCTGAGTTTCTTTCTATACTATATTTTATTTTTGATTTTCACCTTGCAGGACAATGAGATCTCATCCCCATGCTTTGAGACAAATGACCAATCTTTCTATCTACACCTTCCATTCCCCCATGAGATATCATTATGTGCTGCAAAGTAATTTTTCAAATTGAATACCATGGCACACCCAATGAGCATGCAATTCTTTTAAATATTAAGGACAAAGAAGGAAACACTGATCAACATAAAGATATAATTTACCAAAATGAAAAAACAAAAACGAAAACGAAGAGTTCTTTTAAAGCATTGAGCTGGAGGAAACTGGAAAGAACAGAATAAAATTAGAGCTTGATGGTGGAATTTTCATCTACTGCAGTTAGGGAATTGAATCTACAGGTAACGGAACTAGATATAGAACACATCTTCTGCCACCAAAAGATGGTAGCTCTGAAAGGCACATAGGACACCACTGCCTGTTTGATTTGACTAAAACTATCGGGTCCAAGATTCTAAACAAACATCATTCC